CCTCTTTTAAAGCCCCGCGCCGAGAGGTCCCGACGAGCTACGTCCACGCTTAAAAAATTAGGTTGTTACAATTGGTCAATTGCAAAAACAAAATAATATTTTATTGAAGTAACTATTTTATTGAAGTAACTAAATATTTTTATAATACGTATATCATATAAATTTTAAAATACTTACTTATTATTTGGGAAATAATCAAATTAGAAAAATTTTCTTTCTTCTTGAATCCCACCTAAGAGTATCGTATAGCCAATTCATTAGAGAAAATTTTCTCCATTATTCTTTTAACCATTATTTTGACATTTGCTCCACCAAACCTCGAAAGTTCTAATATCTTAAAATAGTTCGATAATGAATAAGACTTAATTTACCTTTAACTATTATTTGCTAAATATATTCTAATATAACTTACAGCTTCTTTCGTCTTTTCTTCATCTTCTAGATAAGTTTCGAAGTTTTTGTATTGAATTTAAGGGAAAATTTAATTTTTCAAATAAAGATTCCGTTTGGGGAACTTCTTTTTCCATTATTTTATTTATCTTGAAATTATTTAAATCTTCCACTATTTGGTCGACCTTATAATTGATAATTGACAGTATTCTCAGTATTTGCCTTTTGTAGGCTTCATCTGAAAATTAAAAAAGGAATCTAAAGACATACGAATAAATGAGAAATTTATTGTGTTTATGTCTATGAAATGGAATTCTTGCATATAACATGCAATAATATACATATATATAATTGAATTATATGCATAATGCAATATACATACATTAAAGTTTAATTAGTGTTAAAAGTTATATGAGCACGCACGCACGCACGCACGCACGCACGCACGCAGAGAGAGAGAGAGAGAGAGAGAGAAGTAGAGAGAGAGCGCATTATTATTCAATATTAGTAATATACTGCATTCACGCAACTTAATTATTTAAACAATATTAAATAATGTCATTCAACATTATTAAGATCCAAAGATGCTAATAGCAAAATTGTTAGATTGTTAGTCAATTTAACTCATGATAGTACTGCGGTAGTTTATTAGAGTTCGCGTTATAAGTCTGAAAATTAATTTCGAAGCACGGTTTGGGAGACTGTAATACATACGTAGTATATAAATTCACACGGAGTTATAATAGCAACTAAGATCCTGCTCGACCATTACAGGGAAATTCTTATTGGTTAATATTAAACAAATCTTCTAGGACCGCAAAATGTGACAACACAACAGGAAGAGAAACCTTTGACAATCGAAACTGGATCTTTATTGCTCAAATAATTTCATATGTGAAATTATATATAATACTATATACATATGTATGTATCTGGAGACACGGTAGTGTCTCGGCGCTAAGCCAAGCGCA